ACACAACGCACCGGGTACTCATTTGAGGCCGAGTCGACCTGGGGGAGGCCCAGGACCGGTTCAGATCATTTTCACTGGGTGTTGGCCGTGAGCGGGAATCGAACCCTGGTCGCCGGGTTCATAGCGCAGCGTGCTAACCGCTACACCACCGCTCCCCACACCCCCACCACCACCCCCCACCACCCCCCCCCCACCACCACCACTCCCCACCACCACCACTCCCCACCACCACCACTCCCCACCACCACCACCCCCCACCACCACCCCCCACCACCACCCCCGTCTGGGCTAACAGCGGCACCACCGCTGAGAGCGAATAAGGGGTCAATGGACGGACGAGCTGTTTGGCCGGGCTATTGTGTCCCACGTACACTGTGTATGGATGAGTGGATTTCTTCTATTTTGGCAGTAAATTTTGATTTAAGAATTGTTTTCTTTTGTTTGCTTTGTTATTGTTCGCCGTAGTTCGCTGAGAAACTGTTGGACAAATTGGCCGCGGACAAATTGGGAGCCGGATTTGTTGGTGCTGGCGGCGGTGATCGCGGATTGACCAGAGAGAGAGCGGGGGGGGGGGGGGTGCGGCTGGGTGAAGACTGATCCGAGGTGAAGTGTGGAGGGGCTTGTGTTTGTGCGCGGTAGAGTGTGAAGGACGCCCAGTGAGTGTGCGTGAGTGAGCGAGTGTGTGTGAGTGAAGGGGGACCGCACAGACTGTAACAACTACAGGGGCATCTCACTCCTCAGTGTGCCGGGAAAGGTCCTGGCAAGGATTATTCAACTTCGCCTTGCTAGGCACGCTGAGGAGAGGCTTGCGGAACCCAAATGCGGTTTCAGGAAAGGGCGGTCCAACAAGACCTACATCTCTGCTTTATTGACCTGGTCAAGGCCTATGATACCATCAGTAGGCCTGGGCTCTGGGTTGTTCTTCGTGCTTTCGGAGTCCCTGACCCTCTGCTCACGATCATTAAGGACCTTCATGATGGTGAGCGGGCCCGGGTAAAATTACGTGGCCGGGAGTCGGAGCCTTTCCCTGTAAACCTTGGGGTGCGACAGGGATGTCTTCTGGCTCCCACATTATTTAACATCTATTTTGACCGTGTAGTTCGTGAAGCCGTCAATAGCTGTACTGGGGGAATTTCCATTTGGTACAGATAGAATGGGAGGTTGATCGACGCCCGGGTTCGATCAAGGGATGGCTCCCTATTGGTTAACCACGTTATGTATGCTGATGATTTGGTAATAGCTGCTCATTCAGAAGAGGAGTTGGAGACGCTGCTGCTGAGACTGGAGCGTGCCACTAAGAGGTGGGGCCTTACCATCAGCCCCACCAAAACTAAGCACCTGCCTGGGTATTTTGTACCATCGGACACTCCACCCCACAACTCCCAATCGGTGATGGGGCAGTAGTGGAGAGAGTGGAGAGTTTCCCATACCTGGGCAGTGTGCTTATGACCGGCTCCAGTTTAACAGCAGAGGTCTCACTCCGAATCAGTCGAGCGGCAATATCTTTTCATCGGTTGCGTAACGCTGTGTGGAAGCTACCTGGTCTGTCGCTCCGCATGAAGCTTCAGGTCTTCTCGGCCACGGTAATTCCTTCCCTTCTCAACGCTTGCGAAACGTGGACCCCCCTAATGGAACATCTTTGCCGGTTAGAAACATGTAGGCTGGCCTGCCTACGATCCATCCTGGGTTTAACCAGGCTGGATTGTGTGAGGAGCTCACAAGTCCTTGAAAGATCTGGACAAAGTCCCATCGGTGAGCTCCTCCGGCAGGCAAGGCTGCGTTGGCTGGGTCATGTAGCCCGCATGCCCAGCCACCGCATGCCGAAACAGCTTTTGTTCAGCCGGATCGAGGGGGCTAAACGGGCGCGGCACGGGCTAGAGAAGAGATGGAGTTATGTGGACTTGCCGATGACTGGTACCAGCGGTGTCAAGATCGGCCTCTGTGGAGGAGGCTCGTGAAGGACGCTACTGGGCAGTTGGAGGCAGTCGCCCTCCAACAACAAAGGAGTGCGGAGAAGCGACGCTCACAACAACGAGCGGAGCGCCGGGTGGCTAAAGCACAGCAAGTTGGCACAGTAGGGGGCATAGGTGGCGCATCAACCAGTCGTCTCAGTCAATCGACCCGTGGCACCTGCTGGGTCTGCCCCGTGACCTCCTGCCAGCGGGCGTTCGACAACTTCACGTGGCCTCAACGTGCACCTAGCCTGGCACAAGCGTCGTGGTGACGTCACCGCCACTTAGTGGCGAATGGCGCTTGTTGTTGTTGTGTGAGTGTGTGGGGAGCGGTAGTGTAGCGGTTCGCGCGCTGCACAACGAACCCAGCGGCCAGGTCGAACCCGGGCCGCCAGGTTTGTGACACAGCGCGCTAACCACTACACTACCGCTCCCCACACTAGCGTCCGTAAGACAAAGATAAAGACAAAGATCCCCCGTATAGCCTAACAGACTGGAGGAGCAAGTGCTGTTAGCGAGCACCTATGAAGGCCAGAACGGTACACGAGGGGGTGGGTGGCCAGCACCACGCCCGACCCCAGTGGCGATGTTTACACACCACACCAGGTACTCATTTGAGGCTGAGTCGACCTAGGGGATGCCCAGGAGCGGTTCAGATAATCGTCACTGGTGTTGGCCGTGAGCGGGAATCGAACTCGGGTCGCCGGGTTCATAGCGCAGCGCGCTAACCGCTACACTACCGCTCCCCACTTGGGTCTGCCCCGTAAGATACACACACACTGACACACACTGACACGCACACACACACACACGTACACACACACGGACACACACACACTCACACACACAGACTCACACACACACTCACACACACAGACACACACTCACACACACAGACTCACACACTCACACACACACAGACACACACTCACACACTCATACACACAGACACACACACACAGACACTCACACACACACAGACACACAGACACTCACACACACACAGACACACACACAGACAGGTGCAGACAGCAGCATCAGCAGCAGCCTCTTGGCTCGCGAGCCGAGAGCGAGATCTCTACCAGCGCCGTATGGTGTCTCTGCCTCTCCCTCCGTGTCTCTGCATCTCCCTCCGTGTCTCTGCATCTCCCTCCGTGTCTCTGCATCTCCCTCCGTGTCTCTGCATCTCCCTCCGTGTCTCTGCGTCTCCCTCCGTGTCTCTGCGTCTCCCTCCGTGTCTCTGCGTCTCCCTCCGTGTCTCTGCATCTCCCTCCGTGTCTCTGCATCTCCCTCCGTGTCTCTGCGTCTCCCTCCGTGTTTCTGCATCTCCCTCCGTGTCTCTGCATCTCCCTCCCCGTGTCTCTGCATCTCCCTCCGTGTCTCTGCATCTCCCTCCCCGTGTCTCTGCATCTCCCCCCGTGTCTCTGCATCTCCCCCCGTGTCTCTGCATCTCCCTCCGTATCTCTGCATCTCCCTCCGTGTCTCTGCATCTCCCTCCGTGTCTCTGCGTCTCCCTCCGTGTCTCTGCGTCTCCCTCCGTGTCTCTGCGTCTCCCTCCCCGTGTCTCTGCGTCTCCCTCCGTGTCTCTGCGTCTCCCTCCGTGTCTCTGCATCTCCCTCCGTGTCTCTGCGCCTCCCTCCCCGTGTCTCTGCGTCTCCCTCCGTGTCTCTGCGTCTCCCTCCGTGTCTCTGCATCTCCCTCCCCGTGTCTCTGCATCTCCCTCCGTGTCTCTGCATCTCCCTCCCCGTGTCTCTGCATCTCCCTCCGTGTCTCTGCATCTCCCTCCCCGTGTCTCTGCATCTCCCTCCGTGTCTCTGCATCTCCCTCCGTGTCTCTGCATCTCCCTCCGTGTCTCTGCATCTCCCTCCGTGTCTCTGCGTCTCCCTCCGTGTCTCTGCGTCTCCCTCCGTGTCTCTGCGTCTCCCTCCGTGTCTCTGCATCTCCCTCCGTGTCTCTGCATCTCCCTCCGTGTCTCTGCGTCTCCCTCCGTGTTTCTGCATCTCCCTCCCCGTGTCTCTGCATCTCCCTCCGTGTCTCTGCATCTCCCTCCCCGTGTCTCTGCATCTCCCCCCGTGTCTCTGCATCTCCCCCCGTGTCTCTGCATCTCCCTCCGTATCTCTGCATCTCCCTCCGTGTCTCTGCATCTCCCTCCGTGTCTCTGCGTCTCCCTCCGTGTCTCTGCGTCTCCCTCCCCGTGTCTCTGCGTCACCCTCCGTGTCTCTGCGTCTCCCTCCGTGTCTCTGCATCTCCCTCCGTGTCTCTGCGCCTCCCTCCCCGTGTCTCTGCGTCTCCCTCCGTGTCTCTGCGTCTCCCTCCGTGTCTTTGCATCTCCCTCCGTGTCTTTGCGTCTCCCTCCGTGTCTCTGCATCTCCCTCCGTGTCTCTGCATCTCCCTCCCCGTGTCTCTGCATCTCCCCCCGTGTCTCTGCATCTCCCCCCGTGTCTCTGCATCTCCCTCCGTGTCTCTGCATCTCCCTCCGTGTCTCTGCATCTCCCTCCCCGTGTCTCTGCATCTCCCTCCGTGTCTCTGCATCTCCCTCCGTGTCTCTGCATCTCCCTCCCCGTGTCTCTGCATCTCCTCCGTGTCTCTGCCTCTCCCTCCGTGTCTCTGCATCTCCCTCCGTGTCTCTGCATCTCCCTCCCCGTGTCTCTGCATCTCCCTCCGTGTCTCTGCATCTCCCTCTGTGTCTCTGCCTCTCCCTCCGTGTCTCTGCATCTCCCTCCCCGTGTCTCTGCATCTCCTCCGTGTCTCTGCATCTCCCTCCGTGTCTCTGCATCTCCCTCCGTGTCTCTGCATCTCCCTCCCCGTGTCTCTGCATCTCCCTCCGTGTCTCTGCATCTCCCTCCCCGTGTCTCTGCATCTCCCTCCGTGTCTCTGCATCTCCCTCCCCGTGTCTCTGCATCTCCCTCCGTGTCTCTGCATCTCCCTCCCCGTGTCTCTGCATCTCCCTCCGTGTCTCTGTCTCTCCCTCCCCGTGTCTCTGCATCTCCCTCCCCGTGCCTGTGGGAGGGGCCGTCACAGCTGAATTTCAGATGAGTCTCACTCATAGGGAGACTCACCACCCATAACCAACTCCTCCTCCTCCCTCCTACAGCTCCTCCGCGTTACGAGTTACATAAGGCGAGGAGCTGGCCTTTTCCTCCATATACCCAGCCGCTCTGTGCCTGCCCGAGTCTCAGAGCCGTGCGCGTGTGTGAGTGTGCGCGCGTGCCAAATCAATAGAAAGCTCACGACATACATCTGAGGACATCTCAAGAAATACATCTCAACACATCTCCACTACGAACAACTCCGGGGGTAACCATCAGCCCATCAAAAATGTAAGTTTGCACACGCCGCGTACAAAGATAATGATTCCCACCCCCCCCCCCCCCCCCGTGTAGCCTTAGCAGGCTGTTGGGGCAAGTGTTGTTGTTAGCGAGCACCTATTAAGGCCGGCAAGGCATGCTAGGGGGCGTGGCGGTGCGGGGTGACGAAACACCACGCTCGGCCACCTTTGTCTCCCCAGTGCCGATGATTTCAATACACTCCGCACCAGCTACTTGTTTAAGGCCGAGTAGACCTAAGGGCGGCCCAGGAGGGGTTTAGATAAAATCGCCGTTGACCGTGAGCGGGAATCGAACTCGGGTCACCGATGAAAGAGAGAGAGCAGGATAGTTGATCTCAGGATCGATGTTTTGTGAATAAAAGAAGTAATATTTAAAAAACACTTTAAAAAAACTCGCTTTAATGAAATGTACCGTACTAGTAATGGCAGAACTCCACGACTCCAGGAATTGGCCCCGAAGATTGCCATAATGTAAAGGGCCGTGGTGATTTACAGCCAACGTCAGTTGAGTGTGGACAATTACACCCAAGCCGAAACATAACATATTAAAAAAAAAATGTTTAAAAATACTTTTTTTTATTTTTTTTATAGAATGTAGTATTGTCATGAGTATGACATAAGTATACCAAGTTTGCAGTCAATACCACATTGCGAAGTGGGTTAAAATTGAGTTACAAGATTTGAGAATACGACAACAACAACAGACAGAGTGAGTTCAATAAAAGCGTGTAATAATAAAAGGTTTTGTTCCAGATTGTTCGCTAAATAACTGGGAGATATTGACCGGGGGGACACACAAAACTTGGGAACGCGTGATAATGTGTTTTATTTTATTTTCATTCAGTACTAGAGCCAGCAGAAGTGTATTTGCCGAGTGAAACCCGTAGAGCTAGCAAGCTCTTTAATCAAGGCGGCGACTCGGCCGGCAGACAACATCACCTCCGATTAGCACGGTGGGCCACGTACGGTGCGAAAGAAGTTCGACGTACGTACACACATCAAAGCGTTTCACAATTACAGCATGAAAACAAAAAACTGAAACTTTAGTGAGTTTAATGCGGTAACACCCCCCGATTTACGTTTGCCACTTTTACGTCGTTCCGCAAATACGTCGTGACCTCGCCAATGCCACAATTGCGACTTGCGCCAACTCAACCCCACGCACACTTCACGTCGCTGACGGCATCTTCGTCGTCACATCCTTTCTCGGTATCCGTTGCCGCTCAGCCTTCGTCTCCACCACCACCCACCACCACCACCCACCACCCACTCATCCACCACCACCCACTCACCACCACCACCCACTCACCCACCAGCACCCACCCACCACCACCACCCACCTCCACCACCCATCCACCCACCCAACACCACCACCACCCAACCCACCACCACCCACTACCACACACCCACCACCCACCACCACCCACCACCACCCACACACTCACCCACCACCACCCACCACCACCACCACCACCCACTACCACCACCCACTCACCCACCACCACCCACTCACCCACCACCACCCACCACCACCCACTCACCCACTCACCACCACCCACCCACCCACCACCACCACCCACCACCACCCACTCACCACCACCCACCACCACCCACCCACTCATCCACCACCAACCACCACCACCCACTCACCCACCACCACCACCCACTCACCCACCACCACCCACTCACCCACCACCACCCACTCACCCACTCACCCACTACCACCCACCACCACCACCACCCACCCACCACCACCCACCACCACCCACCCACCGGTTATGTCGAGGATATTCGTCGACGTCACCGGGCTGTCGCTGTGATCGAGTCAGTTCTAAAACGAGTGACAGAGTTGGCAGAATTTTGAAACAAAATTTAGACATTTAACTCATTTCTTTAGAACTGTTTTTTGTGCTTCGCTTGCTGCCCTTCCTCCGCACCTCCAATTAGCGCGGTTGGCTACGTACGCTGCGAATTAAGTTCAACACACGTAAGTACAACATACATACAACATGCATACGTACAACATACAAACAACATGCATACATACAACCACGGTACATAAAGCATGGAGATGTCCAGAGACGAAACTTTGGTGGTGGTTCCAAACACTTTGGGCGCAGCCACTTAAATCGGCGCCACGGTGGCTAGGAGATGTTAACTCCCTCGCCTGGTACACAGGAGGTCGTGGGCTCGATCCCGACCTTGATGACGCCTGCTCCTGTATATTTGGAGTTTGCGTGTCTCTCTCTCTCTCATCATCATCACGGTGGCTAGGAGATGTTAACTCCCTCGCCTGGTCTACATGAGGTCGTGGGTTCGATCCCTACCTTGATGACGCCTGCTGCTGTATATTTGGAGTTTGCGTCTCTCTCTCATCATCATCATCACGGTGGCTAGGAGATGTTAACTACATCGCCTGGTCTACAGGAGGTCGTGGGTTCCATCCCGACCCTGACGCCTGCTGCTGTATATTTTGAGTTTGCGTGTCTCTCTCATCATCATCATCACGGTGGCTAGGAGATGTTAACTACATCGCCTGGTCTACAGGAGGTCGTGGGTTCCATCCCGACCCTGACGCCTGCTGCTGTATATTTTGAGTTTGCGTGTCTCTCTCATCATCATCATCACGGTGGCTATGAGCTGTTAACTACCTCGCCTGGTTTACAGGAGGTCGTGGGTTCCATCCTGACCTTGACGCCTGCTGCTGTATATTTTGAGTTTGCGTGTCTCTCTCTCTCATCATCATCACCACCACAGTGGCTATGAGCTGTTAACTACCTCGCCTGGTTTACAGGAGGTCGTGGGTTCCATCCCGACCTTGACGCCTGCTGCTGTATATTTGAAGTTTGCGTGTCTCTCTCATCATCACCACCACGGTGGCTATGAGACGTTAACTACCCCGCCTGTTTTCCCCCAGGTGGCCGTCTCGCTCCGTCCCACGGCCTTTCATCTCCCCACCCGCGCTGCTCGTCTCCCTCCTCTCCATCGCCGTCGCGCCCTTTGGCGGCGGCGTCGGCGTCGTGCGAGCGGCGAGCGCCTCGCCGAGGGTCCCGCGGGAGGCGCGCCCCGGGGACGCCGTGGGGGGGGAGGCGGCCCCCGTCAGCAAGCTCGCACTCTTCCCCGACCGGCCCGCGTGGTGCGAGACGCGCAACATCACCCAGATCGTCAGCCACGCCGGCTGCGCCAGCCGCGAGATCGACAATCGGTGAGGGAGGCGGGGGGGGGATGGAGAGATGGAGAGGGGGGGATGGAGAAGGGGGGGGATGGAGAGGGGGAGAGGGGGGGATGGAGAGGGGGAGAGAGGGGGATGGAGAGGGGGGGGGTGGAGAGGGGGGGGATGGAGAGGGGGGGGGATGGAGAGGGGGAGAGGGGGGGATGGAGAGGGGGGGGATGGAGAGGGGGGGGATGGAGAAGGGGGGGGTGGAGAGGGGGGGGATGGAGAGGGGGGGGTGGAGAGAGGGGGGGATGGAGAGAGGGGGGGATGGAGAGGGGGGGGGGTGGAGAGGGGGGGATGGAGAGGGGGGGGGATGGAGAGGGGGAGAGGGGGGGATGGAGAGGGGGGGGGTGGAGAGGGGGGGGGATGGAGAGGGGGGGGGATGGAGAGGGGGGGGAGATGGGGAGGGGGGGGGAGATGGGGAGGGGGGGGATGGAGAGGGGGGGGAGATGGGGAGGGGGGGGAGATGGGGAGGGGGGGAGATGGAGAGGGGGGGGGGGATGGAGAGGGGGGGGGGAGATGGGGAGGGGGGGGATGGAGAGGGGGGGGGAGAAGGGGAGGGGGGGGGAGATGGGGAGGGGGGGGAGATGGGGAGGGGGGGGATGGAAAGGGGGGGGGGAGATGGGGAGGGGGGGAGATGGAGAGGGGGGGGAGATGGGGAGGGGGGGGGGAGATGGGGAGGGGGGGGGGATTGAGGGGGGGGGATGGAGAGGGGGGGGGATGGAGAGGGGGGGGGGATGGAGAGAGAGGGGGGGGGGGCTGTGGTGGCCGTTGTTGTTGTTTTGCTGCCTTGCCCGAGCTTGCATGTAGTGTTGACAAATCGGCAGGATTGGATGTGCACTGATCCGTCTACTTCGTATTCTTGTCTATTTTTAGTGAACTTGTTTACCTCCCCTGTCGTTGCACTCCTATCGATGTTTGCTGTTGCAACTTTCTGCCCCACACTTGCAAAGAAGAGCTTCATAGCTCATCGGATTCCCCCGGTACAAATACATATTCTGATTCTGAGCCGTCATCTGTCTGGCAGAGCGAGCGAGCGAGCGCCATCCGGCTATTGGCACGCTCCAAGTTGAAATGATGATGATGATCTGAATAAGAAACTTTATTTATCCTGGAGAAAATCCGATGAGCTATGAAGCTCTTGTTCGCAGACGTCCAGTGGGGCGAGTCAGAAAGTTACAACACACACAACAAAACACAATAGGCGTGCAAGAGCGTAGGACGGGTAAATAAATCACTAAAAAATAAATACGTAAAAAAGTATATAAGTTAAAATTGCATACGCACACCAATTCCCAAGCTTGGGCAAGGCAGCAAAACACAGTCCCAGACCACAGCAAGACAACAAAATTGCACGTTAAAATAATGACGCGTTATTACTGACCGTCCATCTCTCTTTCTCTCTCGATGAAACGGACGCGACCCGCTATTTCTGCAGCGGCATCTTGAGATTGCATCGAGACTCCGCATGAAGAACCCGCACTTGCCGCGTCTTCTGCTTAATTCTATCCAATTATCATTCTTGGCTCCTCCGTCGAAAGCAAAGCGACAATGACAAAACAAAACACTATGAGACATCTCCTTTACCAGTGGCAAAATATAGTAGTAGGTTTTTACCCTTTCAACTGGTACAAAAACTTCAAGGACAGTGCATATCATTATCATCATCAGAGTTGTTTCTTTTTGTTTGCATTTTGACTGCTTGTGTTGTGGTTATTGCAAACATGATGCCTTGTATAAAGGTGTCAGTTTTTGTACCAGCTGAAAGGGTAAAAACCTACTACGACAAAACAGAAGTCGCATCACGTGGCTCGTAGCGGTGGTGGACGTACGCTGGGCCGACGGGCTCCGATCCCGGGGCTCGGTGCGGTCACGGTGGTGGCAAGGCGCTGCTGCTCCCCGCTCAATCTCTGTGCGATCGCACCAGTTGAACACGTCGTGGGCTTTCGATTGTCTCGACGCGTGCGACCGTGCCGTTAGTATACTGATGATACTATGTAGTTTATACTTTAGTTTTTTACGTGGTTGTTTAGTTTCTGCAGCTACATACTATTAACATTCCTTCCCTTTATTAATGCTACCCCTATCCCCTCCCTTTGATGCTGCTAATCCTGCATAATGCACGGGCATAATATGACTTTGAAACCCCCCGCCCACCTCCTGCTCATTTCACAAGTAGTACTAATCACATATCTGCATTTCCCATAAATATGCTAAATTCCTCTTGATATACAAATTCTTTTGTCAAGGCGCCCTTCGCCCCTTCCAACTCAGCTTAAATATACGCTCCAAGCGTGGTGGTGTTTCATTCAGACGCTGTCTCCCCGACAGACCTGGTCTTCACCTGAGGACGGCTGCTTGCGTTGTGGCCGAAACGTCGTGAGAATTATTTTATGTTTTATTTTTATTATTTTATTATTTCCCTCCTACGTGACTTTACCGAAAGAACCAAGAAGATGAATCCCTGCAGTCACGAAAGCTTTAAATCGAAATTTGACCGTGCCGTTGTTTTGCTCTTCCCCGATCCCGGACTCGGTGCGACCGCGGCTCCTAATCTCTACGGAATTGCCTCGGCGCGGGCGGCCGTGCCCCTGTGTCTGCTGTCATCCCCTCCCCGCTCCCCCCCCCTCCCCGCCCCCCTCCCCGCTCCCCCCCCTCCCCCGCCCCCCTCCCCCGCTCCTCCCCCTCCCCTGCCCCCCTCCCCCGCTCCCCCCCTCCCCTGCTCCCCCCCCTCCCCTGCTCCCCCCTCCCCTGCTCCCCCCTCCCCTGCTCCCCCCCCTGCCCCCCCCCCTGTCGCGCAGCGTGTGCCTGGGCCAGTGCTACAGCTACAGCGTGCCCGACACGCTGCCCCAGACCTCCGAGTCGCTGCTGCACTGCGACTCGTGCACCCCGTCCGACACCACGTGGGACGTGGTGAGTGGCGGCCCCACAAACAACTCACAACTCCCCCCACCCACCCACCCGCTGCACGAGCACAGGCTTTTTCCAAACGTGAAACAATAAAGAAGGGGTGTTTACTCGTATGCAAAGTATGATCTGTGTTTTAATTTAGTGCGCTGATCTTAAAGGCGCATTGAAAAATGTTGATACTCCGACTGATACTCCTACTGTTGTGGAGTGACTCATGCAGCCAGCTATGGCTGCAGAGTTTGGTAGTACATGTTTTTTACGTCGTTTATTGTGAAAATTCGGTCACAGTTCCTATGACCACTGTTTCATTGCTTTTATGGCTTTATTTTGGTGCTTTTCGAAAAGTTTTTTGGTTTGGCCATGTTTTTTTTGTTGTAGTACAGAGCTAGACTGATGGCCTTAATCTAAGTTGTCTTGTGGTTGTTGTTGTTTGACTTGCATCCCACTGGGATATTTGCACAGGGTTGGTGTACGGTGATTTTTTCTGCAATATTTTGCTGTCTTTTCTTGGATTTTCTGTTTGCACTTAGTCACTTTAAGATTTTTCGATTTAAAGCTTTCGTGACTGCAGGGATTCATCTTCTTGGTTCTTTCGGTAAAGTCACGTAGAAGGGAAGTAATAAAATAATACAAATATAACATAATAAAATAATTCTCACGACGTTTCGGCCACAACGCAAGCAGCCGTCCTCAGGTGAAGAAACAGGTCTGTCGAGAAGACGGCAAATCCCCCAACCGGGTACCCGATACCCGTACCCTACCCGATACCCGGCTATCCGTACCCGGCCAGGTACGGGTACCCGTTTGCGACCCTGGTGCGGCCGGGTACGGGTACAGGTAGGCCGTGAGTCACTGGTGAGTAACCGTTTGTCACTCATTTCGGGTAGGGTACGGGTAGGGAACGGGTACCCATACCCGGCCAGGTACGGGTACGGGTACCCATTTGCGACCCTGGTGCGGCCGGGTACGGGTACGGGTAAGGAATCAAAACCCGTTTGCGACCTCTGCCCCCCCCCCCCCCCCCCCCAAGGTGACGCTGCAGTGCGGCGACGACTACAGCGACGGTGGCGTCGACGCGGACGACGACGGCGCGGAGGGATCACCAGAGGTCACGAAGCTCGTGGAGAAAATCCTGCGCTGCGAGTGCCAGGCGTGCGGAGCCCAGCAGCACCTGCTGCTCGCGGCCACCGCAGGCGGCGGGGGCGAGGCCCACGGGGCCGACACGCTCCTCGCCTCCATGGCCGGATCAGCGGCTCAGCCGGAGCCGGAGCCGGAGGAGGAGGCAGTCGCCGGCCCCCGTCGCGGTTTGCCGCATGACCCGGAGCCGGCTCACGGCGACGACTCGGAAGCCGGGCCGAGGCAGCCGGCTCCGCAGGGCGAGCGGTCCGAGCCGCCGGCTTTTCCCGCGGAGGCCGAACGACGGCACCGGGCGGCCGCGTCCGTGGGCGGTGCAGGCGGAGCGGGGGACTCCTCCGGGAGGGGGTGGGAGCATCCGCACAACAGGCGGCACGGGCAGCACCACGCGCGCGGCCACCACCACCGGCACGGTGGCGGTGGCGGTGGCGCGGAAAACCCCGATCGGCTGGCGGCCGGATTGTGGGGTGGGGAGAATTACCGCGGAGGTTTGTAAAAAAAAAACAATCAAATAAGTTAAGCAGCATTGGTAAGAACCGGGGCTTAATTTCACCTGGGTCTGTTTGGGTTTGCCGACCCGGAAAACTAAATATTTCCAACGTCCCAAACACCACATCCAGTATACCGATGGCTACGTGGCCACGGCTGGGGTCGTTACTCACGTGGGGACCACCTACTCCAGTCGAGCAGCGACCAGAAAGCACAGTTCACACTCCCGGCACATCACTGAGTAGCAGACACCTCCTGCTGTTATGGCGGTGGCTAGGAGATGTTAACTACCTCGCCTGGTATGCAGGAGGTCGTGGGCTCGATCCCGACCCTGACGCCTGCTGCTGTATATTTGCAGTTTGCATGTTCTCTCTCCCCGTAGTCGTATGGATTTTTCTCCGGGCCCCCCTGTTTACCTCCACATTTAGAATTAAAAGCACCTCTTTTAGAGTATCTGGCTGCTATACATTTCCACATGATGACAAGCCACTTCGTTGAGCTATCATCTGTGGCAGCTAGGTCGCTTCTGATAAAGAGTTACACGGGGTCAGTGGGCCTTACCTGGTAGAACAAGTTTTTAGTTGAAGCTAGAGTTGGGTGGAATGGGCTGTTTCATGAAGCGTCGATTCGGCGATCAGTTTGCGATAACGACCGCCAAAAATCAATTATCCGCGTGAGAGGGGCTCATTTGCAATTGCAATTTATTTGCAGACGATAATGTGTCTAATTTTTTTTGGGGGGGGGGGGGTGGGGGGTGGGAGCAGTGGCGCAGTGGTTAGCACACTGAACCCGGAGCTCTTGAGTTTGATTCGCAGCCCCACGGCTAACGTCAGCGGTGAGTGGGTATCCGCAACGGTCCGATGCCCTCCGCTGACTTTCCCTAGTCTCCCCCCGCCCCCACCAACCCCGTTCCACTAACTCACACTGACCAGCATGGTCAAGTATGGTCATAGGGAGGCTTTCATCCATCAGTGGATCTTAAAATAAATGTTCATCTGTACGGGAAGAGAGTGTTTCTCACGCTGCCACGCTCGTGGCTTTTCGGTTTACTCCCACGCGGAATAAACAACTCCCCATTGATTGGCCTGAAAACATCTTAAACATAAAACACCCAAATGTAGCAGCCAGGACCCTTATGGCGACAACAAAAATAATCTTTGGACTCAATGTGGCTTTGCTGGATAAGTAAGTAAGTATTCTAGTGACGTGTACTGACCAGACCCAAGTCCAATGGGACCACTGACGTGCCCCCCCAATGATCCGATCGAAATCCCTCATTTTGATCGGATCATTGGGGTTTGTTAGTAATAAATCGGCATTTTGCGACCCCCACTGCCACTGTGTAGCATTATATGACATGCCAGGGACTCTATGAGATGATAGGACAATAGTGTGAGTCTATAACTGGCAACAAGTAACGGCAAAGCGGTTATAAGTGACTCACAGAATTGTGCGCAGTTGCGTCTACAGTCCACGAGTTCCCTGAAGTCGTGCCGATCACACAACGCGGTTCGATTTCGACCCTCGATCGATGGCTGCGCCATCGCCGCACACGCGTCGAATAAAAAGCAAGGGACAAGTCCTTACTTACTAACAACTCCTCTATCATTTTTCATTGCTGGAGGGGTTGCCCCCCTACCTGAAAATCCTGGCTCCGCCATTGAATAGGACGAGGTTTTACCACACGTACATGTGTGTGTGCGTACATGTGACCTGTGACCCCGATTTTCCCGCGTGACAGTGGCGAGAACTTTGCTCAAGAGTTGTAGATTTGTGTTGATAACACGCGGATGCATATTGATCGGCTTGTGCACTTACGGTTTTAGAGATATAAAGTTTTTTTTTACGTGTTAGCTATTTTTGTTTCTGTTCACGAACTCTCGATATCTCTGTGATCGGAGAAATTGAGAATGCGTGGAGGGGAGTAGAGTGAGATGAGAGGGGAGGGGTAGGAGAGTGTGTGGAGGGGAGTAGAGTGAGATGAGAGGGGAGGGGTAGGAGAGTGTGTGGAGGGGAGTAGAGTGAGATGAGAGGGGAGAGGTAGGAGAGTGCGTGGAGGGGAGTAGAGTAAGATGAGAGGGGAGAGGTAGGAGAGTGCATGGAAGGGAGTAGAGTGAGATGAGAGGGGAGAGGTAGGAGAGTGCGTGGGGAGGAGTAGAGTGAGATGAGAGGTAGGAGAGTGTGTGGAGGGGAGTAGAGTGAGATGAGAGGGGAGAGGTAGGAGAGTGCGTGGAGGGGAGTAGAGTAAGATGAGAGGGGAGAGGTAGGAGAGTGCATGGAAGGGAGTAGAGTGAGATGAGAGGGGAGAGGTAGGAGAGTGCGTGGGGAGGAGTAGAGTGAGATGAGAGGTAGGAGAGTGTGTGGAGGGGAGTAGAGTGAGATGAGAGGGGAGAGGTAGGAGAGTGCGTGGAGGGGAGTAGAGTGAGATGAGAGGGGAGAGGTAGGAGAGTGCATGGAGGGGAGTAGAGTGAGATGAGAGGGGAGAGGTAGGAGAGTGCGTGGAGAGGAGTAGAGTGAGATGAGAGGTAGGAAAGTGTGTGGAGAGGAGTAGAGTGACATGAGAGGGGAGAGGTAGGAGAGTGCGTGGAGGGGAGTAGAGTGAGATGAGAGGTGAGAGGCAGGAGAGTGCGTGGAGGGGAGTAGAGTGAGATGAGAGGGGAGTGGTGGGAGAGTGCATGGAGGGGAGTAGAGTGGGATGAGAGGTAGGAGAGTGCGTGGAGGGGAGTAGAGTGAGATGAGAGGTAGGAGAGTGCGTGGAGGGGAGTAGAGTGAGATGGGAGGGGTAGGAGAGTGCGTGGAGGGGAGTAGAGAGATGAGAGGTGAGAGGCAGGAGAGTGAGTGGAGGAGAGTAGAGTGAGATGAGAGGGGAGAGGTAGGAGAGTGTACGCAATTGCAGTCCGAACTTCTCATATGTCTGTGTGGATTCACGCCGTATATGCAACCCCCTCTGGTAAAGATATTAAACTGATCTTTTTACCCGCTGATTGATGTACTCATGCGGCGGGCTACGTTGCGAGTAGCAGAGGAGCCGTGCAAACGCAATTGAATCAATTGTTGTACCGTACGTCTATGCTCCCACGCCGTCACCAACCGGTACTGTGCGGCGAGGCATGATCAGAGATACGGGACCCGCATGGCATGAGGGGGGGGCCCTCATCCAGCAGTGGATTGACAGAGGCTAGGGCTCAGAGGTCGCAAACGGGTTTTGATTCCTTACCCGTACCCGGCCACACCAGGGTCGCAAATGGGTACCTGTACCGGGCCGGGTACGGGTACCCGTTCCCTACCCGTACCCTACCCGAAATGAGTGACAAACGGTGACTCACCAGTGACTCACGGCCTACCCGTACCCGGCCGCACCGGGGTCGCAAACGGCTACTCGTACCCGTACCTGGCCGGGTACGGGTAGCCGGGTATCGGGTAGGGTACGGGTATCGGGTACCCGGTTGCGACCTCTGCTCGGGCTTAACGTGTCGACTTGTTACTGATCAATGGGAGAAGTGCTTACGGCAGTGGTGTATGGACTGTGTTGAACTTCTTTCGCACCGTACACAGCCAACCGTGCCGCATCATACCGGCACGTTTTCGCGTCGCCACTTTCGCGTGAAAAAGACTGTGCCGTTGATTCTGACGGAGGTGACGGTGGCAACATCGCTATTGTGGAAAATAAAATGTGTGAGTGTTTTAAAAAAAAAAAGACGAATCCTCCTCGCGAACAGGATCAACATTTCCTTGGTTCATTCGGTAAAGTCACGTAGAAGGGAAGTAATAAAATAATAAAAATAAAACATAATAAAATAATTCTCACGACGTTTCGGCCACAACGCAAGTAGCCGTCCTCAGGTGAAAACCAGGTCTGTCGTGGCGACAGCGTCTGAATGAAACAGCACACGTGCTTGGAGCATATATATAAGCTGGGTTGGAAGGGGGGAAGAAAGGGGGCGCCTTTACAAAAGAATATGCATATCAAGAAGAGTTTAGCATATTTATGGGAAATGCAGGTATGTGATTAGGATGTGATTAGGATCAACATGTCACGCACAGTGCCGTCTGCATCGTGTCGTCCACAAAACGAGCTGTTTCCAACACCAAACACACACTCCCAGTTCTTGGTTCTTTCGGTTTCAAGTTTCATGTATTAGGTATAGCCCTGTGAGCCATTCGGCTCTTGAATCGGGTGCAACCGCAACAAACAAAAAAACAAAAAACATGAACAAGAAAACATCTTAAAGTGACTATGTGCAAACAGAAAATCCAAGAAAAGACAGCAAAATATTGCAGAAAAAGCACTGTACACCAACACTGTGTGCAAAAATCCCAGTGGGATGCAAGTCAAACAACAACAACCACAAGACAACGGTAAAGTCACGGAGAAGGGAAATAATAACATACGAAAAATAAAACAATTAAATTATCACGACGTTTCAATGGCAACACAAGCAATCATCATCAGGTGTGAAAACCACCGCCACTTTTTTTTTATCTTGCTGTGGTCTTCACACCTAATGATGATTGCTTGTGTTGCAATCGAAACGTCGTGAGAATTTTATTGTTTTATTTTTATTATTTTATTATTTCCCTTCTACGTGACTTTACCGAAAGAACCAAGAATATGAATCCCTGCAGTCACGAAAGCTTTAAAACGAAATTTACACTTCCAGTTGTTCTTCACTAATTTCCACAGCGACGGCCGCGGCGGGGTGAAGGGCCTCACTTTCGCAGATCAGACATCGCCAGTGTGAGAGGCCGCCACACATTTGACACCATTGGGGCTTTGACAGCAGCATGCTGATGATGATGGGGGCGGTGTTGTCACTCGTTGTGCATTGTCGGGGTGCCGCACGTCAGGGGGCCGCACTAGAGGCCACCGGAGGCCCGCCAGTGGCCCGCTGGACCTTGCCATGAAGAACGCTGACGCAGGGCATCCAGACATGCTGTGCATGCCAAGATAGACATCACCATCCCCTCGTACACAGAGCCGCGATGGACATCAGCTGGAACAGGGCCCGAGATGGGGGCTGTTCATTGTTTTAACTGAACTATTTTATTTTAAACATAATTTGGAGCTTTCATGACTGCAGGGATTCATCTTCTTGGTTCTTTCGGTAAAGTCACGTAGAAGGGAAATGATAAAATAATAAAAATAAAACATAATAAAATAATTCTCACGACGTTTCGGCCACAACGCAAGCACCTGAGGACGGCTGCTTGCGTTGTGGCCGAAACGTCGTGAGAATTATTTTATTATGTTTTATTTTTATTACTTTATTACTTCCCTTCTACGTGAGTTTACCGAAAGAACCAAGAAGAATTTTATTTTAGTTTACGAGTTAAGGCCCACTGAGATATATAGGTCGTTTTTAAAAGCGAGCTGGCCACAAATGGTAGCTCAACAAAGTGGCTTATCACGTGCAAATTCATAGCAGCAGCAACATGCTGTAAACGCAGATTGCTGCTAAATGTGGAGGTAAAAACCGGAGGACCCGGAGAAAAATCCAAGCGACCACGGGGAGACAAGCACACTCCAAATATACAGCAGCAGGCGTCAGCATGGGGATCGAACCCACGACCTCCTGCGTACCAGGCGAGGTAATTAACATCCCCTAGCCACCGTGGCGCCCATTTCTTCGGCAACACAAGGTAGCCAAGACGGCATCTGGGCAGTACACCGGTTTTTTCTCCGCATGACTCATCAGCACCGTGTAGCCATCATTCTTCCTAGCGCTTGCTGTTGGTGTCCTGGAATTGCGGGATATTTTTGTTGTTGTCGGAGCTAGAGGTGAAACAAGAAAGTTGAGACCAGGTGAGTGGTGAGTGATGGGTTTTGGATGGCCGCACAAATACATGTGTAGAGGATGTTCGAGACATCCACGCACACAAACGCCACACAACCACGGGGTTAAGGGTCACGGGAGTGCTGCCGTGTACGACGCGGAGAAACCCTGGGAATGTGAAACAGGGCGGGAGACGGGCTACACAGGGGAGAGAAGTTGGAGGGGTTGGAGGTTGGTTTTCGATGATTAGTGGAAGTACGGTGAGTTGCCGTGGAAATAAAGATCCTGCTTAACCATCTCGAGTCTCCTCTACACTTGTAATAATATTAACTACAACAGCAATCGAATAACCGGGGCCAGATGTACATTGAATGAGGGCCCACGGCTGCCGGTTTAAAAGTGCGCAACGAAGCGTGGAGAGAGAGAGAAAAAAAAGAGAGAGGGAGAGACTTTTGACTTTTAAACAACTTTTATTGCCGCCAGCAGCAAAAGCACTGGAGGCGATTTCAATATGAAATACAGTCACCAGCAAAGGGAGAGAGCGAGGGAGGAAAGGGGGGGGGCACATAAAGCAAAGCATTGAAAAAATAAACGAAATGGCTGGGGAGGGAGTGGCTGGGTGGGGAGGGGAAGGTTGGGAGGGGCTGGGTGGGGAGAGTGGGGAGGGGCTGGGTGGGGTAGGGCTGGGTGGGGCTGGGTGGGGAGGGTGGGGCTGGGTGGGGGGGGCTGGGTGGGGGGTGGGAGGGGTGGGGCTGGGTGGGGAGGGGCTGGTCACCCCGTGGTGCCCTTATAAAACTCAATGTTTAACCTACTCACGCCGGCTTGTGCCCGCCCTCACAGTCGGCCATATTTGCGGAATACACCACGCCGCCGTTGACCCTGGCCATTGACCGAGCAATCCAACGTTCCTACCAGCTCCCTCCGCAGGAATGTGTTACGCGATCTCACCCAGAGAAACCTGCACCATGGAGATTGGTTGCGAAATACTACCTGGGTGAAAAAAAGAGTTAATGATATTATTGGGCACCAGAAAGTTGACATTTTAGTGATATTTACCAGAGAAAATAAGTACATTTATTTAGTTCAACTATGATTTCTATGATTGCTGTGGGGCCCGATTTAAAAAGCTTGGAGTTTTCCGACGGTTCCCCCCCCCCCATTACCCGCTGCGTAGACGTTTCACTTCTTT